TGGCCAAGCACAGGCTGCTGGTGCTGGTCAAGGACAATGGCGAGCCCGCGCTGTCTGCCAGCGTCACGCTGCACGTGCTGCTGGTGGATGGCTTTTCGCAGCCCTACCTGCCGCTGCCCGAAGTGGCGGCCGACCAGGCGCAGGCCGACCCGCTGACCGTGTACCTGGTCATCGCGTTGGCGTCGGTGTCGTCGCTGTTCCTGTTCTCGGTGCTGGCGTTCATCGCGGTGCGGCTGTGCAGGCGGAGCAGGGCCGCCTGGGTGGGTGGCTGTTCGGTGCCTGAGGGCCACCTTCCGGGCCACCTGGTGGACGTCAGCGGCACAGGGACCCTGTCCCAGAGCTACCAGTATGAGGTGTGTCTGAGGGGTGGCTCAGGGACCTCTAGCGAGTTTAAATTCCTGAAGCCGATTATTTCTAATCTGCAGTCCCAGGGCACAGGGAGGGAAGTGGAAGAATATCCTGCATTTCGGAATGATTTGGGTTTCTGATAAAGAAAGGAAAATAAATGCGAGTGTTGTGTCTGTGAATACATTCCTAAGAAATTTATCATGTGTCACCGGTGGAAGATTGCTTTCACATTATTTCAAGCATTTTTAAAGCCACAGAATTAGTTTCGTTACACAGCAAAGAACCTAGCTTTAGCCCTAAGCACCCTCTACAAAGCATGGAATTCATGTGTCTATTTGATCTCTAACAGTTATGCATTCTGTGTAGTCTATTAAGTAATGATAAATGTTGTTTGGGATGTTGTAAATTAATTTTCATTTTCTTCAAACTTTATTGCTTTTTTATTTTCTGAGTTGATTTCAGTGCTGTAGATTTATACTTGCCTTAAGTTTTAGAAGCACGGATTATACAGTAACTTTTGAAGTTTTTAAGACAGTACTTAGTATACATCACACACTATTTTAACATTTTTAATCTTAGAAGTAAACCTATGAGGAGAGGTATTTTTGAAATGGGCAAGTAGATATTTATAGAGGTTCAATAAATTCAGTAAGAACACCAATTAATAAATGGCAGAATTGAGTATCTTTCCTAAATCTTTCTGCCACTGGGACCTTGCTATGATGCTGTACTCTTTTCTGGCATTAGGTATCACATTGAAAGTTTCTCCATAATTAAGGAGAAGAAATACTTTTCTCTTATTCATATTCCTGTTTTGTCTTTTCTATAATTAGAAGTAATAGTGTATATATTGGCTTGTGGTTTTATTTTCTTAAAAACTAATAATCCAGCTTTACTGAATTAATTATTTAATTACTAGAGGCCCGGTTCATGAAATTCGTGCACTGGGGGTGGGGAGGGGGTGTCCCTCAGCCTAGCCTGCACCCTCTCCAATCTGGGACATCCCTCTCACAATCCGAGACTGCTGGCTCCCAACTGCTTGCCTGCCTGCCTGCCTGATTGTCCCTAACCGCTTCTGCCTGCCAGCCTGATCAGCCCCTAACCACTCCCCTGCCAGCCTGATCGATGCCTAACTGCTCCCCTGCTGGCCCGATCACCCTCAACTGCCCTTCCCTGCCGGCTCAGTCACCCCCAACTGTGCTCCCCTGCTGGCCCAGTTGTCCCCAACTACCCTCCCCTACCAGCCCGGTTGCTCCTAACTACCCTCCCCTGTAGGCCTGGTTCCCCCCAACTGCCCTCCCCTGCTGGCCTGGTCGCCCACAACTGCCCTCACCTGCCAGCCATCTTGTGGCTGTGGGCGCCACCATCTTTGAGGGCAGGGCAGTCAATTAGCATATTCCCTCCTTATTGGCTGTGGGCACCACCATCTTTGAGGGAAGGACAGTCAATTAGCCTATTCCCTCCTTACTGGCTGTGGGCGCCGCCATCTTTGTGATGGTGTGAGGATCAATTAGCATATTCCCTATTTATTAGATAGGATTATTATTAAAGCATTGATCTAGCCAAATCTCAAATAAAAAATGGAAAGATCACTTTTTGCTTTTTTCTTGTTATCCCAATATATGACCGTCATTTCACAGAAAAGATGAGCTCTGAATAGAAATATTACATAATTTTGATTTCTTCAGTAGTTTATTAATTTTCTCACATTGTAGTAATATTTCTGCGGTGGTCCTTACCTACCTTTTAAACACATTTTCCTCCTTTAATTTGAAAGTTTGTTTTTTTAACCCTCTTATTCAATATACTACAATGCTGAATCAGGAAAGTATAAGAAAAAGAATTGTTTTAAATATGTAATAATAAAAATAAACAAATTACAATTAAATTATTTAGAGATGCTTGGGAGTTAAGGAGAAGCTTTGTTTGTTATAATAATCTGTAACTGCTCTTTCTTAAACCTTGTCCAGATAATTTTTCCATGGCTGTATTCTGAATATATTATAAATCAGTGCTGCTAACTCTTAAAATAGTACTCTTACTATGTATTACTAATGGGATATAGTCTAAGGACAAAAAATTCTCACAGCATTCAAATTCTAAATTGTTTTCATAGTGTCAGGATGAAATTATCCAGTTTTCTTACTTCTAACAAATCAATGACATGGAAAAGGGGAGGAGGGAATTTTCAACAATAAAATAAATGTAATGTGTGGTTAATCTTGTTTGGCTCGTGATTCAAAGAACTGTGTAAGAATTGTAGAGAATGTGAATACAGATGCATATTAAATAATATTAACCTAATTTCTTAGGCATGATATAGCATTGTAGTTGTTTTCTTAGGTCATTAAACATTAGAGGTATATGATGAAGTATTTATGGGTGATAATTTAGTTTGGGATGTGAGAATGTTAGGGAGATAAACAATTATGACAAAATATTTATAATTGTTGAAGCTAGTTATGAGTATGTGGAGGTCCATCATACTATTCTCCTTCTTTGTGGTTTTGAAGTTTTTCAAAATAAAGGTTTTTTTTTTAATTGGCACTGTTAAGAAGAAAAGTGGAGTTAACAAAAATAGGACATTCTTCTGAATACAGAATCACCACTGCTCTCACAGATCATACCTCTATTAGATAAACTCTCCAGCCTTTCATTGTGTCATCATTTAACGTAATAACTTCTATCTGAGCTCATTCTGCTCAAGCATTCTTCTACCACTTGAATATTGGATGTTTTTCTAGTCATGGCAATGGACTCATGTAAGTTCAGCTACCTGGTGGCATCAAATTACATGCCTGGTGTGTGTGTGTGTGTGGGGGGGAGGGGTTAACCTGTCTCTGCCTCATTTTCTCATCTGTGTGGGGAGAACTCACAGCAACCCTAAATAATAGGTACTATTATATTATAATCTCCACCTTACAGATAAGAAAACTGAGACAGAAGTTAAATAATTCGTCCAAGATTCATAGATAGCTACTAATTGTTCCAATAGTCCCTGGCAAAAAAGTACATTCTGAAAGTTTTCTATGTTACTCCAATTATATATTTAAAGAATGTTCCTGCATATATTCTTTCTTCTCAGCCAGACTAATATATAACAATTTTCTTTTTGCTCCAAACTCAACATTAGTAAAGGTAATAAGTCTCTACTAATGTCATTTCCCTTGTACGGTCCTCAGACTATTGTCTGCACTGTAAGGTCCACCAAGAGTAGAGTTAGAGTTGTAACTTGTACAACACAGGCAAGAGTTAGAAATAGTGCATCCATTTTCATCCCAGAAAATGTAATATCCTGTGAGGACGCGTGGTGGCGCTGCAGGATAAGAAGGTACAAACCGGAACCGCAGCTGCGGCTCCATTAAAGACAAAACTTAACCAGCAGAGCCTGGAAGCCCACTGGGAAGCTAGGGCGCCACAGAAGAAGGACTGGGTCCTCTAGAAAGGACTGCTCACTGGGATATTTCCGAGGCATCCTGTGCAATATTCAGTCTCAGATACTGAGTTCTTCACAGCTCCGCGGAGCCAGCCTCGCCAGAGGCTGTACCAAGCAAGAACAATGGAGGCCAGCAGGAAGCTCATTTGCAGACAAAGGCAAGTCCTTTTCCTTTTTCTCTTCTTGGGCTTATCTCAGGCGGGCACGGAACCTAGGCGCTATTCTGTGGTGGAGGAAACTGAGGGGAGCTCTTTTGTAACCAATTTAGCAAAGGACCTGGGTCTGGGGCAGAGGGAACTCTCCAGGCGGGGGGCTAGGGTCATTTCCAAAGGGAACAAACTGCATCTGCAGCTGGATCAGGCGACCGGGGATTTGTTGCTAAATGAGAAACTGGACCGCGAGGAACTGTGTGATCACACAGAGCCCTGTGTGCTGCGTTTCCAGGTGTTGCTAGCGAATCCCTTAGAGTTTTTTCAAGCTGAGCTGCAAGTAATAGACATAAATGACCATGCTCCGGTGTTTGTGGAAAGAGATATGGTGCTAAAAATATCGGAGAGCAGTCCTCCTGGAACTGCATTTCCTCTGAAGAACGCTCAGGACGAAGATGTAGGCCGAAATAATATTGAGAACTATATAATCAATCCCAACTCCTATTTTCGGGTCCTCACCCGAGAACGAAGCGATGGAAGGAAATATCCCGAGCTGGTGTTGGACAGAGCGCTGGATCGAGAGGAGGAACCTGAGCTCAGGTTAACCCTCACGGCGCTGGATGGTGGCTCTCCACCGCAGTCTGGCACCGCTCAGGTCTACATTGAAGTCGTGGACATCAACGATAACGCCCCTGAATTTGAGCAGCCTTTCTATAGGGTACACATCCCTGAGGACAGTCCCATAGGTTTCCTGATTGTCAAGGTCTCTGCTACGGATGTAGACATAGGAGTCAATGGAGAGATTTCCTACTCACTTTTCCAGGCTCCAGAAGAGATTAGGAAAACCTTTGAGCTCAACCCCCTGACAGGAGATATTCGACTGAACAGACAACTTGATTTCGAAGCTATTCAGTCCTATGAGGTCATTGTTGAGGCTAAAGATGCCGGAAGCTTGTCTGGAAAATGCACCGTTCTGACTCAGGTCCTGGATGTGAACGACAATGCTCCAGAAGTCACCATGTCTGCACTTACCAGGCAGATCCCTGAGAATTCACCGGAGACGGTGGTTGCCCTGTTCAGTGTTTCTGATCTTGATTCGGAAGAAAACGGGAAAATAAGTTGCTCCATTCAGGACAATCTACCCTTTCTCCTAAAATCTTCTTTGGAAAACTTTTACACCCTAGTAACAGAGGGACCGCTGGACAGAGAGACCACGGACGAATACAACATCACCATCACTGTCACCGACATGGGGACCCCCAAGCTGAAAACTGAGCACAACATCACCGTGTTGGTGTCTGACGTCAACGACAACGCCCCCGCCTTCACCCAAACCTCCTACACCCTGTTCCTCCGCGAGAACAACAGCCCCGCCCTGCACATCGGCAGCGTCAGCGCCACAGACAGAGACGCGGGCGCCAACGCCCAGCTCACCTACTCGCTGCTGCCGCCCCACGACCCGCAGCTGCCCCTGGCCTCGCTGGTGTCCATCAACGCGGACAACGGCCACCTGTTCGCCCTGAGGGCGCTGGACTTCGAGGCGCTGCAGGCGTTCGAGTTCCGCGTGGGCGCCACG